GGGGGACTCCGGCGGGGGCCCCTTCCCGCGAGCGGCCGATGAGGCAGGACCGCCCGTATGGCTGAAGAAGGGAGGACGGTCTCTGAGGGGATCCTTTCTCATTGGGGAGCCTTCGGCTGGCTCTGGCAAGGGATTGCCCTTTGGCCAGGGGGGTTCGACTGGTGCTGGAGGTGTGGAGAGGGCAGAGGGCTTGCTCTGCTGCAAAACATGTTGTTGAGCCGGCGGAGAGCTGAAACATAACTTGTGTTTGGTATCTGCTGGCAGTGTCCTCTTGAGCAGGATGGTGTCTTCTGAGTTGCAGTATGTTTGTAAGTCAATTTTAGACGTGGCTAGTAATTCATAAGTAAGAAGGCTTAGAGGTTAAAATGAGGTGTCTTAACAAATTTGCAGTGGGGGAAGAAAGGAGTTTTTCTTAGACTCATACACTAAACAGAGTCTGTGGCAAAGCAAGGGGAATTATGTCATTGGTATCCCTACAACTGAGTGCAGCAGTGTTTCTGTCACTTGGGTTTTTACTTTGAGATGTATGGGAATGAGGTTATTCTTTTAATGTGAAGAGTTACAAATAAATTTATTTTATAAGTGTAAGAAACTTCCAAAAAGGGTGGCAGGGAATAGCATTTCAGATTCAAAACCAATAGTCCTGTCATTTCTATTGCCAGCTGCTTTGGGGAAGGCTTTTGGCAATGTTCACCTCTTCAATGTGAAGGCCTGCTTCTGGTTACTACTCTGAAGTTTGGGGACTTGCATATGTGTCCTCTTTGCATGCAGCAGTCAGTGTTAATTGTCAGTTAATTGCTATACGTCGGTCCTACAGACTATATAGTATCAGTAGAGATTTCCACTGCACAACAGCAAAAAGTTTTCTTACAGTGCTGTTTCTTGAACTTCTAGAGACCTCATGTAAGTCATTGCACAGGTTCTAACAGTGATGTAGAAAACAATGGGAGGAATTCCAAGGGAATCGCTGTTTTTACTCTGGGGCTTGAAGTCATTCATTGTATTTCTACATATGTAATGGAATATGTGATGAACTAATTCAGGAAATACATTCTCTTATGCTTTCTTCTCTAGAAGAGACTTTACTCGCTTAAGGTAGCTCCTAAAGTTGCAACCTCAGCAACTGCAGAACGAGTGAAATTATCTCCAGAGTCTGAGGATCTTGAGGTCAGTACAAATGCTGGTATTTGTTTCTCTATCCTTTTTATTTACCTTTTAAAACTCAGTCAAAGCAGAACTGTGACAGTACTTCCAGTGGATGATTAAACAAATTTTTTTTTCTTTTCAATACAGATCACAAAATTACCAAATGGCTTAATTGTTGCATCTCTGGAAAACTTTTCTCCAGCTTCAAGAATTGGTGTATTTATTAAAGCAGGCAGCAGATATGAAACCACTAGTAATTTGGGAACTGCTCACTTGCTTCGTCTTGCATCTAATTTGGTAGGTGTTTATTCTCTTTGTTATTATGTTGGCAGTAGATGACATGGTGGAAGGTTTGTGGTCGCAAAGAGAAGTTATATGGTAAAATTTAATGTAAGAGGTCTTATAAAGTGGAAAACAATGGACACTGATTCTTGGTTACCTGGTTCAAGTGCAGGAGAAAGGACATTACTTCCTGGAAGACAGGCAGTGATACTTACTTAGAATTATGCTCTCAGGTGGTGTCTTAAACTATAAACATGTTTTTTATTTTTATATATATATCAAGCTGTGCACATAACTCATTTCGTTTAAGCTGCAGTAAAAGTTAATTTGGATGGCTGATACAACTGCGCTTTTGTGTGTGTGTGTAGAATATTTCTGAATAGTTTTTCTTACTACTGCCATCAGGACATTTTAAGTTCCTTGTTCTCCCTTCCTGTTTTATGTCTAGTTTCAGTTGTACAAGTTGCTGTGGAGGCAGATACATATTGGTAGGTTCAAAAAAGAATCGGGCAAATTCATTGATAGCAGATCCTTAAACTGTTGCTGATAGGAGTAACTCCTGTAGGTATTGCAGGAATACCACCGAATGGGTTGTGGGGTGTTAATTCAAACAGCTTTGTCTGTTGCTGCTGTCAGGTACAGAACGTTGGGCAAGATGTCTCCTGGGCTTGGCCTACTGCAGCCGTTCCCCTTGTTGCTGTCTGGTATAGCTGCAGATGTAAATACGCCCTCTCTCTCGCACACCAGCCAGGCTGTGACCATTAGAGCTACATAGCACCACTGAGGTGTCTTTGACTGCTGTTGTCTGGGCTCAATCCACATCAGTTTCAGACACAAAAAAAAACCCCCAACATCCCAGCTGCTTATTACTTCCTTTCCAACTGCTGCCTGAAGTTACTTTCCCCAGATAGCTGTCAGTGTAATAGCATATATCAGCCTTCCTTGACCTGTTTTTGTCAAGCTTATCTAATTCAAAGAATCCTATTAAATGTTCAAGCAAACCTGGATCATTCTAGAATGGGGCTGGGGAACAAATATGTGAGCAGTTATGGTGGAAAATCAGAGAGGATGGTAGAAATGATTGGGAGTAGGGGTGCAGTAAGGTGGCTCAGCTTTTCAAAATGGCTTCTGTATAAATTAACTGACACTGTTTCAACTTTGCTTGAGCACTGAACAACCTCAGGCAAATCTGTTCTTAAAATAGCTAGAATTCTAAGTTGCTCTTTTTAATCTTTTCTTTGTTTTAAATAGACTACTAAAGGAGCATCTTCTTTCCGGATCACTCGTGGCATTGAAGCTGTTGGGGGTAGCCTAAGGTTTGTAACCACATACAAAGATCTGTCTGGGTAAAATGCTAACAAGCTGTGTGACTAAAGGAAATGTAAAACAATAAGCACAGTATGTAGGCAGATAAGCTCAGTGTGGTAGTGGTGCTTCAACGGTGAACGTCTTTTGTGCTTCTCATTCTGTTAAGGTTCAAGAGTGCACCCATGATCGGTATTTTAAAAACACCTTTCAGTCAACAAAATATAAATGTTGTGTAGCTGGAAGAAATGTGATTTGTCCAGAAAGCTTAATGTTCTTTCTGCCTTTTCAGGCTTTGAGATTAAACTTCCTGAAGTCAGTATTGTTTTTTGGTTTTTTTTTATTCTCCATCTTCTGTGAATAGATACCGCTGATCACACTGCAATTTTGGGAACAATTTAGCCAGTAGTTGGCTTTCGTGATTTGAGAGTTTAAAACCTAGAAAACAAGCCTAGGAGAAATAAAAGTGGGATCTCACTGTGCCTGCTTTCTTGCAATATATGTTGAAATCATCCAGTAAGATTGTTTTATATAGAATTTGGTTAAAAGCAGTGTTTTAGATAACTTGAGCCTGTGGCCTTTTTTGTTCCTGTTAATCAAAAATGTGTTGAAGCAAGTGGAAAAGGCCAACTGTGTTTTCTGCCCAAAGAGAATAATTTCTAAATTGCCTTGTTTAATACATACGCGCATTTTTCTTCAAGTTTTGCTATTCAGCCTTTTTTGTTGTTTTACCTTGAATTACCATGTTGTCTTAAATTCTCGTGGTCACAAGGCACTTGTTATTACTTGAATACTTAAGATAAGAGGTTTTGTTACGTCTTTCTGCTGTGTGTGTTTTATCGCTCCTTCAAACAGTCATCTCAAGCAGATTTAAGGTTAACTAGATATTCTAGTCAATATCTTGCTGACGAATTCAGTCAATGGGCAATCTGTGTGAAAATCCAATTCTATATTCTCTGCTGAAATGGATTTTGTATTTTTTCTCATTTAGTGTATACTCGACAAGAGAGAAAATGACTTACTCTGTCGAATGCCTGCGTGACTATGTGTAGGTATCTGGATATGCTGTAAACTGAATTACTGCATTCTTTACAAACTGCTCTGTAGTAGAGACCTATCATTTTACAGGGTAGGAGTAACACCCATTTTCATGTCTTTGAAATAAATAAATTACTGCATTAATAGTCAGCTTCTGTATTGTGTTACTGATCATACAAATGCTGCAGAACCAAAGTTGAATTCTCATGCCTTGTACAGCCGTGCTCATAACTACTCTGTCTCAAGTGATATATTGTTAATGCGTTACTTACAGATTAGTTTGAGTTGCTTTCAATTTCAAAAGAAATACATGCTACTTCTATTGTGTTTAACACTTTTGTAACTTTTTTAATCTAGTGATACAGTAATGGAGTACCTTCTTAATGTCACCACAGCACCAGAGTTCAGATCATGGGAAGTGTCAGATCTTCAGCCACAATTAAAAATTGACAAAGCAGTTGCATTTCAGAATCCTCAAGTTGGTAAGTGTATTTTCTGATTCACTGCATTGGCTTCATAGGAGTTTCTTCCAAATGAAAAACTAGAAAAAATAGTTTCTCTTCTGCTCTGTCACACGACCATTTCATTTTTCAGGTTTTCCCCATCGATATGTATGGTCTTTCTGTTGTTACAGAACTTTTTTTTTTTTTTTTTATAAATCCACAAGTTTTCCAACCTGTGCATAACACATTTATCAAGTAACATTCTGAAGACAGCTTCCATTTTACCTTTTTAATTTTTTTGAAGTACAGCCAAAGAATGTGCAAGTCATGAGTGTTGTTGACAATGTATTTGCAGCAGCTTGTGTTTGGAA